AATATGGCGGGTACCCGGAAAACCCGGGGGGAACTTTTTTTTTTTTTTTTTTTTTTTTTTTTTTTTTTTTTTTTTTTTTTTCCTAACAATAGCTTTTGACATGTTTAATTTCCTTAAAGGATTACTACAGGACAGATTTAAGAATGTGTTCGTTTGTTTTTTAAAGAGTTATTTATTTAATTTTATTATTATTTTAAAATTTGCTCATAAGGCACGTGCGCTCACCAGAGAGAGAGTAAGAAAGCAAGCTGCTAGGTCCAGGTCTAAACCTTGGTCAGCCATGTGGGAGTTCAGTGCCTTAACCACCACCCCACCTGCTGGCTCCTGTGTTATGAAGAAAGGGTCTTATTGGGGAATCATAGACGGTGTAATGGTTCCATCGTGGGACTCCCGCATAGTTGACTGCAGTTCAAGTCCTTGACCCAGCAGTTTAAACTCACACTAAGTGCGTGTGCATGCATGCCCAAAATCCCAGGTGGAGAATGGAGAAGGAATTGCGGCATGGCTATCCCCTCTAAGGGGTGATTTCTTCCTTTCTGTCTTTCTGTCTCTGTCTCTCTGGCGAGCGCACATACCATATAGCAAAAAATTTCTATTAAAATTTTAAAAAAAAAAAAAAAAAAAGAGTGGCTGGCAGGTGGCATGATGGTTGAGGTGCTGGACTCCCACATGGGCAACCACAGTTCGAGTCTCAGACCTGGCGGCTTGCTCTCACTTTCCCTCTCTCTCTCCTTCTCTCGTCAAATTAAACATTAATAATAACAAATAAAATTAAATAATTTTTTTAAAAAAAGAAAAGAAAGAAAAGCATCCTTACAAAGTATTTCCCAGCATTACAATTGAGAGCATATGTCTTCTTAATTGAGTTAGGAGCAAAATGGTCATGGAGCATTTACAGCACTGAGATCTTTCTGAGAATGGTAAAGCTGGCAGGCGCCATCTACTGGTGAAGAGAAACATTGCCTTGTGCCGAAGACAGCAAACAGCCTTGGTGAGGGTTCATCAGACGCCTGAGAAGAGCGTGTGTAATGCAACGGATATATCTGAAAACAAAAGCAAAAATACAACGTGAATCAGAACACCTTTTTCCTACCTTTTAATCAGTTGGATTGAATTCAGTTATGTTGCGTAAGAACAAGAACTAGTAAAGATGATTTTTCTGTGTGTGATTTTTAAAAAAGAATTATCTTATTTTATTTATCATTACTATTTGTTTAATTTAACCAGAAGGAAATGGAAAGAGAGAGATAGGGAAAGTGGGAAAGCAAGCTGCCAGGTTTGGGCCTTAAACCGCAGTCGGCCAGGTGGGCGTCCAGTGCCTTAACCACCACGCCACCTGGCAGCCCCATGTGTGATTTTTTTTTTATTATTTCTTTGTAAACTAATGGGCTAGATGTTAGATAACATCACAAAATTGAATAGTTAAAATTTCTCTCCCAGAGAGCCTGATTCATTTATTCATTGGTAGGATCTGAACTGTATTCCAAAAGGCAACTTGATTATTACAGTAAAACACTGCTAGACATCAGGCTTCTTACCATTTCTAGCTTTTTGCCTTTTTTTTTTTTAAGAGATTTTTGCCTCATGGTGTGTGTGCTTACTGGAGAGAGACAGAGACCGTGAGAGGCAAAGTGAAAAATCACCCCATGGGAGGATGGCCACACCACAATCCCTTCTCCTCCAGTCTCCTCCTGGGAGCTCGGGTACGCATGCACACACACCACCAGTGTAAGTTTGAAACCACTGGGTCCAGGACTCCAACCACGGTCAGCCGTGTGGGAGCCCAGCGATGTAACCACTACACCATGTGCTGGCCTCAGCCACTTCTAGTCTTTCCCTGGTCTTAAAACCCTCCCATTGTGTAATCAGTGAGTAGATCCCACGCCTGTGTAAGTTCGCTGTGGACCAGCAAGCTCAGATTTCCCAGGACTCTGTGGGGTGTCAGCCTTCCCTGTGAAGGAGACTGCATCCAAGTAACGGTAGCGTAGGCGTCAGAGAGATCGTGGCTAACCAAGGAAGAGCAGGACATAACCTGAAACCTGAGATTCGTGCAGCGCCTCGGAAATACTTTCATGGTGACCGATTGGTGAGTCTATCATCTTTCCGTGAAACAAGCAGTCGGTGTCATTCACGAAAGGAGGAGCATGCGCTGAGGTCAGAAGGCTCGCCAGGGTCAGCCGGCCAGGCCGCAGTCCTCATTCCCTCTCCCATCCCCAGTCATGCCTTTCGTGTTTTCCATCAGCCATTGCCTGACTTTAAGAGCCCCCCACAGAGTAGCCACTCATTAGCACATATTTACCAGTTCTTCCTAATTTCCGAGAAAGAAATGAACATTTCTCCTCACGTTTCAGAGCAGACAGACGCCTGCGGTAAGACATAAGACGAAACCTCTGATGTGTGCTTGCCATGCGTGGCTGTAGTTTGTGCTCTTTGTGTTCTAGGGGCGAAGACAAGGAAGGGGCGAGCGTGTTGGTCAACTGCCCTGCCTACTACAGCGTGTCTGCCGCCAAGGCCGAGCTTCTGAACAAAATCAAAGAGATGCCGGAGGAGGTGAATGAAGAGGAGGAGCAAGCGGATGTCAACGAAAAAAAAGTAAATACAGAACGGGGGTGCCCTTGTTCTGCTTCCCCAGATTCCTTGGAATTAGCAGGGTTACTGGCCATTTAAGGCCAAAGAGGAGAGGACCCATCATGTCACCAAATCTTGCCAAAACCGTCATTAGGCTTTGGACCTGCACGGCACTTTAGCCAAGTTCCTCGCAGCTCTTTTGCATGGAGGCAGGGCAGCTAAGTTAGCAGGACAGCTAAGCTACTGTCATTCTCTTGTTTGCAAATGACAAAAGTGAAGCCTAGGGGACCAGCAGGTGGCATGGTGGTTAAGGCGCTGGACACTCCCATGTGGCTGACCACAGTTTGAGTCCCGAACCTGGTAGCTTGCTTTCTCACTTTCTCTCTCTCTCTTGTTCTTTCTCTGTCTCTCTGGTCAAATTAAATGAATGAATGAATGAATGAATGAATGAATAAAGTTAGGTAATTCTTTAAAAAAAAAAAAAGAAGAAGCGTAGAGGGATTAAAGTTATTTCCTAAAAGTCTCAGCTGGGAAGAGTACCCAACTGTCCAGCCTTCTCCCGCACATGGACCCAGACACTGGTCTCCTGCAGCTAACCAGCCAGTGCCAGCAGTCTGTATCGTTTCACCCTGTGTTTCTTCATCCTGAGAAACATTTAGAAACTTTGGTTAAGGAAAGACCAGCCAGTTGTCAAAATAGCAGTGCTGAGGAAAGGTAATGTTGACCTTTCTGTATTCCCAGCTCTTTGCAGTACCCTCAGGAATAGCTTGAAAGCCGTGAGGTTGAGTTGTTAGCTTTTGACACTCCTACAGAAACTTGCAAACTTTTAAATGTTAAACACGTTTAAAATGACCGGGCTGCTGCTGCTCCCTCTTCCCACATGCCGTGGAGAGTTAAGCCAGGCCGCGATGGCAGGGGAGACAGCTCTTGCCAGTCCACTCTCCCTGCAGCCTGAGGGTGCCTTCGACTGTGCCCAGCTCAGGCGCGCATCCGCACGAGGCCTGCCAGCCTGCTTCCTGCCGAGTCTGGAGTGGGAGTTGTTCCCAGTGGGACTGATTCCAGGAGAAACTGTTCTTATGTGACTCTATTTTGTTTATTCTGCAATATATGTCCCAAACCCTCTTGTTTCTCTGTTAGAAAGAAGCCCGAGGAGTTGGGAGTAATGGAACAGACGGGATTCTGGGGTTTTAGCAGTCCCTTCACCCATGGTATTTTTCTCTCCCCTCCCCCAACGCTCCAGCTCTGGGCTCAAGGCTGCCATGCTGATCCAGCCACCGTAGTGACACGCTTCCTCCCCTCCCCAGGCTCACCCTGCTTCATCACACGCCTGCAGTAGCCCTACCTCCGCAGTGCTGCGTGCCCCGACTTCTGGGTCCTCAGGTTGTATAAGACCACTTTGCTCTTGGACTATCTATATTTAACCCGAGAGAGAGCATAGAAACACCTTTCAGGTATCAGGTCGTCATGACATCTTTAACCAAACGTTGTGCACAGACCTCTCTGTTGGTTTTTGGTTTTGTTTTGCTTTTTAATTCCCCTGCATGTAATTTCCTGGTTTATGACAGCAACATGGCAAATAACTGATTGCTTCCTCCTCCCCATCTTGATTTTTTTTCGCATTGCTTTTCTATCACTTTATTATCACCTCTCACTGTGAGGATTGTGTGGAGAAGTATTTTTAGACTGAGAATATGAAGGAATAGAGGATTAATTCACCCTCGAAGGAAGTAACATTAGGTACCAATTATTACCAGCATCCAGGTGTGGACTGGATTTTGTTTTTGTTTGTTTGTTTGTTTTTGTTTTTAACATAGTGCTGTATTATCTTCATTCCCTTAAATCTCCAACATCACCACATTTAACCCTGGAGTAACCAACATTAGAGAAGCGCGGGGGTCATACGGCGAATAGATGGGAAAGTCAGAATTTAACCTGAAGTCTGCTCACTCCCGACGCCGGCTAAAAATAACCCCCAAGTCAGCTGCCTCTAAGTCTTGCTGACCTGGGTACCGAGCTAAAACGGAGGTTCTCTGGATGCAACTAGCCAGAGCCAGGGTCTGAAATTAGAACCACTTTTGGGAACTAGCAGTTGGCATAATGACTATGTCACTGGACTCCCACGTAGTCGAGCACGGTTCGTGTCCTGGACCTGGTGGCTTAGAACTCACGCCGGGTACGTGTGCGTGCGTGCCCACGATCCCGAGAGGAGAATGGAGGAGAAGGGATTGCAGCGTGACCATCCCCCTGGGTGGGTGATTTCTCACTTTCTGTCTCTATGTCTCTCTCTGTCTGGCGAGCGCACGCGCCCTATAGCAAAAACCTCTCCAAAAAAAAAAAAAGAAAGAAATTAGAACCAGTTTCAAACCAAAGATATTAAGACAATGGCAACAGTGACCTGTGTCCTCGGCCTCTCGGGTCATTCGTGCTGACCTTATGTGAAGTAACAGGCTTCAGGAGACAGAGCTCACGCCCAGACCGGGGCAGAGGGGCCACTAGGGAGAGGACGTGGCTCGCATCCGCACGGCCACACCCCCCCAAGGCCTGACGCGAGCATGAACTCAATAAATACTTGTTAAATGAAATTATGAAGTACAAACCCCCCAAGGGTTGTTACCATTTAACTGAAGGAAAATATCAGAGTGCCACCGTGGGAAACTTAGGGGGGAAATGGGGGTTAGGGGTGGCCAGCCCCTTAGCACCGTGGTTAACTGGATCCTACTTGGCCAACCACAGTTCAAATCCCAGCCCCAGTGGCTTGAAATACACTCTGGGCTCCTGATGGGAAGGAGTAATGGAAGAAACAGGACTGTGCTGTGACCACACCTGCCCCGCTGGGGAATGCTCTTTCTGTCTCTGTCTCTCTCTCTCTCTCTGGCAAGCACATCCACCCCCAGGCAATTTTAATGATAAGCTTTGTGGGAAAATGAAATTTAAATCTTGAGTTCTTTTTTTTTTTTTTTAAAGAAATCTGGGTTTCAATAGTTAAGCAAATAGCTGGACTTCCCTTGCCCTCTGTTTTCCTTATGAGGCAGAAGTGGCGATCCCTGTGTGGCGGACGGTGACCGACTCATGTTAATGTGCTTTCCAAGCTCCAAGTGTAAGGCCCGTGTGCCCCTCACGTCCTGCCTCAGCTGGGAGGTTAGGGTGATGTCATATAAACGCAGAACCCGGCGCGTCTGGTAACGTCTTCATTAGAAGCTTAGTAAGAAGGTGCCTCGTTGCTGACGAGCTAGGAAGCACTTTGCTTTTCTAAGCCAGACACTTCTGAGAAAAAAGCCACTCCCGATTGTCGCCCTTGTCACCCTGGAGCATGTGGCCTCTGGCATCACAGGTTAGATGTGGAGGCTGGAGGAAAGGATGGCTCCTAAGCTGCACACGTAGGTGATTGTCGGAACAGAAACGGGGAAATAGGGAGAGCCTTTGGGGCAGGGGCTGTGAGTTTAGTCAAACTTGAGATTTATTGAAGATCCTTGATAACTGAACCCAAGGGGCCATCCTAAACAGATAGGATGACTTTCTGGGCACAAATCTTCCCAGGAGGAAATGGTTAAGAGCCATTCTAGACAGCGAAGGTGCTAGAAAATATCTGAAGTGGCCCTTGGCCCCGTGATCCTTCCTGCTTTGATCAGGAACACAGCAGGAGACGGAGGTTGAACCCACTTGCCGTCACTGGGGCAGAAACTGCTCCAGACTCTCGGGTGCATCTCAGGTTAAGAGAGCAGTAATGGCTGCTGCCTGGCTCTGCCCGGTGGAGGTGAAACAAAGAACCAGGCCTCCCTCGTAGAAACGCCTTATGTGGTCCGAGTTTGCCAGCAGAAGCCTGAATTCCGCACTGCTCCTAAACGCCGGTCGCCTGGCTAGTAGTCCCCAGTGACTCTTGATTGAGATGCGGCCAGTCAGTCCACGAGGCCAAGTGTGTCTGCAGCCGTGTTCTTGGCAGCACAGTCAGCACAGCCCTCTGAGCAGAAGGCAGAGCGGCGTGTCATGTGGCAGGCAGGCCTCGGGTATCCCGTGGAGAGTACCTCACCCCCACCGGTTCTTAGTTTAACAGTCGTCCCTCCCACCTCACCATCTGCATGCAGAAGTACCTGCTGGGCCCTGCCCACTGTCTCACTGCTCCAGGACGAGCATGCGACCAGGAAGCAGGAGACCAGGCGCTAGCCAGGTAGAGCCCACCTTCAGGACAGTCTGCCTCAGCAGGGCTTGCTGCCTGATCTCATGCTACGAAAATAATGTGAATGTAATACTTTCATCCTTTCTTTAAAAAAATGATTTAATTTTGTTACCATTATTTTTTTATTATTATTTGACCAGAGAGACAAAGAGAAAGGGAAAGCAAGAAAGCAAGCCGCCAGGTCCAGGACTTGAACCGTGGTCAGCCATGTGGGAATCCAGCATCTTTACCACCATGCCACCTGCAGGCCCTTATACTTTACTTTCTACAGTGCTTACACAAGCCTTACTTCATTTTTGCTTCGTACATTCCTGTGAGTTATTTTAATTCAGTATTTTAAAGTCTGAACTTGGAACTGACGACCTGGGTTTTAAGCCTGGCCCTGCCACATTCAAGCTGTGTGGGCATGGGCAAGTTAAATAACCTCTACTGCCTTACTTTCCTTACCAGTAAGATGGGGGTTCTAATAGTCCCTGTCTCACTAGTTACTGTGAGCAGTAGCTGAGTAATAACATATTGACACGGTATCTGGCAGGGAGAAAGAGCTCAGTACTTAGATACTACCCTTGATTTTAGGCAGGCATCATCATTCTCTTGCTATGGTGACTGGGACACAGAAGGTCGAGTGATTGTCCCCATGGTGTTTTACACCAGAGCCTGGCGCCTGCCTCCTGCTCAGTGTCCATCTTGGAGCAGGATGGAAGTGGACAAGGCCCAGCAGGACACCTCTATGTGCAGATGGTGAGGCGGGAGGGAGGTCTGTTGCTGCAAGAGCCCGGAGAAGTAGCATCCAGAGCAGGACAGGCACTTTCTGCCAGGTGAGAGGCCAAACAGATAACCAGCCATGATTTTACAAACGCCGTAGCTCCTGAGGGACTAGGATGTCACCTTAAAAACAGCTCCAGCTCAGGGAACCAGCAGTTAGCATAATGGCTATGTCGCTGGACTCCCACTTAGTCAACCGTGGTTCGCGTCCCGGACCTGGTGGCTTAAAACTCACGCCGGGCGCGTGTGCATGCGTGCCCAAGATCCCGAGAGAATGGAGGAGAGGGGATTGCGGCGGGACCGTGCCCCCTGGGGGGTGATTTCTCGCTTTCTGTCTCTAATGTCTCTGTCTGTCTGGTGAGGGCACGTGCCCTATAGCGAAAATCTCTCCAAAAAAAAAAAACAGCTCCAGCTCTGGACCAGCAGTTAGCGAAATGGCTATGTCGCTGGACTCCCACGTAGTCGACCACAGTTCGCGTCCCAGACCCGGTGGCTTAAAACTCAAGCCGGGCGCGTGTGCATGCGTGCCCAAGATCCCGAGAGGAGAATGGAGGAGAAGGGATTGCGACGTGACCATCCCCCCTGGGGGGTGATTTCTCACTTTCTGTCTCTCTGTCTCTCTCTATCTGGCGAGTGCACGCACCCTATAGCGAAAACCTCTCCAAAGAAAAAAGAAAAGAAAAGAAAAAAAGAACAGCTCCAGCCCTTCTTCCCACCCCACCCCCCCACAGTAAATTCTACTAGAGAAATTGGTAGTTCTTGTTTGTTTGTTTTTAAGGATTATTTATTTATTTAATTTGTTGTTACTATTTTAATTTGACCAGAGAGAGAGAAAGGAAAAGTCAGACTCGAACCATGGTTGATCATGTCAGAGTCCAGCACCATGCTGCCTGCCGGCCCCCTAAGAATGATTTATTTTAACTTTATTATCATTATTATTTTCCAGTTTTGCTAGAGAGCATGTGTGCTCAGCAGAGAAGGAAAAAGAAAGCAAGCTGCCAGGTCTAGGGCTCAAACCATGGTTGACCATGTGGGAGTCCAACGCCTTAACCACCATGCCACCTGTTGGCCCCCGTAGTGTTTAAGAGACCTGCCTGGCAAAGAAATGGTTATTTAGTGTAGCCAATTTTCCTTCATTGCCTTCAGGTACTGAAATCCCTCTCAAATGTATTTTGGGGGAGGGTCCTCTCCTGTCCACCCAGTAATGGGCTCTTGGCCCCGCTCTGAGCTTGGCATGTTCTCAAGCATTTTTTAAAATTTTATTTATTATTATTATTATTATTATTATTATTCAATTTGACCAGAGAGAGAGGGAGAGTGAAAAAGCCAGCCACCAGTTCTGGGACTTGAACCACAGTGGGAGTCCAGTGTCTCTAACACTGTGCCATCTGCCAGGCCCTTAACTCTATTTCTTAAATCCAAATTTCTATTTCTATATAAGAGTTTGGTAGAAAAAAATAAAATCCTTGAGACCAGCAGTTGGTGTAATGGCCATGTCGCTGGACTCCCATGTAGTTGACCGCGATTCAAGTCATAGAAAATGTGTATCATGAAAAAACGGCATTGATTTTTGCACCAAAATAAACTTGTACTTGAATTCCATTTTTCTATGAACCTTTGGAAGGCCCCCTTGTGTGTGTGTGTGTGTGTGTGTATGTGCTTGGGTTTTTGGGGGGTTTTTTGCTTTTTGTTTTTCTTCTTTTTTTGAGCTGGAACATTTTTAGTAAAAAACAGGTTTTAACAAAAGAAATGTCTTTTTTTCCATCTGGCTGTCTTAGCCTTAAAAAAATAAAAAGCTAATTACAAAAACTAGAGAGTTTGATTTTTGTTATGCAGAATTGGCAGACACTGAAACTGAAGTCTAACTCGAAAGCACTAAGACAGTGACTTCATTCCTCCCGTTGACTATTTTGGACATTGGTGTGCTGCCGGTTTTATCGGTATAGAGACTTGTATGACTGTGTCGGGGTGCATGGCTGTCGTCACTGGAGACGGACGGTGCGGGAGTGGACAGAACTGGGCCCGCACGGTGATGCAGGTCAGTGTGAGTGCAACGGCTGTGAAGGGCGGCCCTGCAGTCCTGCGTTTCCGGCCACCCCGCCTGCGTTCTGTGTTCTAGGCCATCCCTGGACCTCTCAAAGTCTTAGTTCCCTCGCTTATTGTAGATGGCTAAAATAATACCTACTCCGGGCTCTTTGGGAAGACTAAAAGCCACCATCGGTGGTGTCCCACACAGTGTGCGTCCCACGGTGATTGTGCTGTAGACAGTAGCTATGGCCGTGACACGGCGAGAAGCCCCTCTCTTTGCTTCTCCATTTCTAGAACGAAGATAATGTTTACTCTGCCTGTCTGCTTACCCACAGGGTGGTCGTGAGATCAGGTGAGAGCGTGTCTTAGAAGGATTTTTAAAAGGACTTTTCAAAACGAGTAGTTAGGACCAGCAGATGGCATGATGGTTACGTCACTGGACTCCCACATAGTTGACAGTGGTTCAAGTCCCAGACTTGGCGGCTTAAACCTCACGCCAGGCACATGTGTGCGCACATGTCCAAAATCCCAAGAGGAGACAGGATTGTGTGGCCAACCCCCTGGTGATTTCTGGCTTTCTGTCTCTCTGTCTCTGTCTCTCCATGAATGCACTCACCCTATAGCAAAAATCTCTCTAAAATGAACAAACAAAAAAAACGCAAGTAGTCAACCCGCTAGTCGGGAAGGAAAGGCGTACACAGCATGACACGACTGGAAGACATGGCGAGGTGGGGTGTGATCGGGTGTCGGCCGGCGAGGACTGAGTAGGTTCAGAGAAAGGCGGGTGTAGGCATCCGGGGAAAGGAAGGACCGTTTTGTTTTGTTTTAAATAATTATTTATCTTAGTTTTGTTTATTCACTCATTTGTTTTAATTTGACCAGAGACAGACACAGAGAAACTGAGAGAGAGAGAGAGAGAAAGTAAGAAAGCAAGCCACCATGTCCGGGACTCAAACCACGGTCAGCCATGTGGGAGTGTCCAGCACTTTATCCATCAAGCCACCTGCTGATCCCCAGGAAGGACTGTGCTGGCCTAAGATGGCGGACAGTTCACACAGGAGCAGGGCATTCAGCTGGGCCGTGAAGAAAACCTGGAGCACCTGGAGAAGGGTGTCGACCTCGGTCCCTGCCACTCCCGCTGATCTCTGCCCGTCTCCTCTGTCTTACAGGCTGAGCTCATCGCTAGCCTCACCCACAAGCTGGAGACCCTCCAGGAGGCCAAGGGGAGCCTGCTCATGGACATCAAGCTCAATAACGCCTTGGGGGAAGAGGTGGAGGCCCTGATCAGTGAGCTCTGCAAGCCCAATGAGTTTGACAAGTACAAGATGTTCATTGGGGACTTGGACAAGGTGGTGAGCCTGCTGCTGTCCCTCTCGGGGCGCCTGGCGCGGGTGGAGAACGTCCTCAGCAGCCTTGGAGAAGACGCCACCAATGAAGAAAGGGTAGGTGGCCTGGCCGCCCCGTTCAGCAAGCTTTCCCTCTGAACCCACGTCCACAGAGCAGGGCTGTCAGACAAAATCCCCTCTCCCAAGAAGGTTTGGGATGATCTGCGTAGGGCGGAGGGGGCGAGAATAGAAGGTACAGAGGACCGGGAATCAGAAGGCGTCTCCCGTGCCAAGACGCGACGCTGACCCTTACGGCTCGGGGAATAGGGAAATCAAAACCAGAGGTGCGAGAGTTTATTTCCCCCCAACCCTCTTCTTTCCTTTTTGTTCTTCCCCAAAAGGAAAAGACGAGCGTTACAAGTACTGGCATTAGAATAAGAGACGGGGACATGGTTGACTCTGCATTTCAAGTCCCAGAGCAGTGGCTTGAAAAATACCGGGTGCCTGTGTGTGCGTGTGCCCAAAATCCCAAGAGGAGAACGGAGAAGGGACTGTGGTGCAGCCATCCTCCCCGGGGGTGATTTCTCACTTTCCCTCTGCCTGTCTCTGTGGCACACGCATGCACCCTATAACAAATCTAAATAAAAATGATTAATAAGAGAGGGGACTGGGACCAGCAGATGGCATAATGGTTACGTTGCCGGAATCCCATGTAGTCGACCGTGGTTCGAGTCCCAGACCTGGCAGCTTAAAACTCACACCGGGCACATGTGCGTGCATGCCCAAGATCCCAAGAAGAGAAGGGAAGAGAAGGGATTGCCCTGTGGCCATCCACATGAGGGGTGATTTCTTGCTCTCCCTCTGTCTCTCCAGCAAGTGCACACACCCTATAGTAAAATCTCTCTCCAAAAAAAAAGTAAAAGGGGACAACAGAACTGTCAGGATAAGGAAGGGGGCTGGAATGTGAGCTCAAGGCTCCAGGAAATCTGTAGGAGAAGGGGCCACAGGCACTCAGTGAGCATCACCGAGGGTCTCACTGCACCCAGCCGGGAAGGAAAAGGACAGGTAGCAACAGCAGTCACCACATTGGGAAAAATCGGACAGGACTGCCTCTGTGTAGCACTGGGGTGTCTGTGCTCTCCACACTGGCTGAATCCTCACATCGGACCGGTAAGTGACGCAGCCAGGAATAAGGAGTCCTGCTGTGGACCCCAGATTTGGGAGGATTTTTTTTTTTTTTTTTTTGAGATTTTTGCCTTAGGGCACATGTGCTTGCCAGAGACAGACAGACAGTGAGAGGGAAAGTAAGAAATCACCCGAGGGGGAATGGCCACACTGCAGTCCCTTCTCCATTCTCATCTTGGGATCTTGGGCACACACATATTACATGCCTGGCATATTTGCAAGCCACTGGGTCCAGGACTCAATCCGTGGTCAGCCACATGGGAGTAACCAGCAGCACAACTGCTACGCTATCTCCCAGCCCCCCAAGGCCCCAAGTTTTAAGCACTGTGTTGAACTCAGTTTCACAGCTTCAGAGAACGCATCATCAACAGCAGATGGTCACGGGGTGTCTAGTGTGCGCCACTCATTGGTCTGGCACGTGGGATACGACTGGGAACACAGCACAGAGAGCCCGCCCTCGTGGCACTTGCTAGTGGAGGAAGTCAGACCAAGAACACCCCTGTGAGCCCACCTGCCAGGAGACCATGATGCTCAGTCGCCACCAGGCTCCTTTGCTTTCCAGCCCCTCCTGCCCCTGCTCCCCAATCTCTCCCGCTCAGTGATAGCTGGATTCCTTTATCATTTCTCCTAAAGGTGGGTCGTCGGAAAAGTCATGGCGTATTTTTCTGTGCACAGATGTGTTAAGACTTTTCCGGTGGCCCAGTGTATTGCATCGAAAGGCAAAACATCTTTTTTCAAATAGTATTTAATAGGACTAAAGGGGTCTAGGTTGTAAGTATTTGGGAATGCGACTGAGCCTCCAGGAACCCTGCAGCCCCCTCTCGGCAGAGGTGCGTTCTCCTCCTTCCTTCTACTCAGCCCTCCACTCAGGGGTAGACCTGACCCTTGGTGGGGTAGACAGCACCTGTGAAGCCAGTGTGTGGATGCCGCAGCATGCGGCAAACCCACGGCGTCAGGAAGTCCTCCTCAGGTGCAGGGGCATGGGTCAGGAAAGACTCCACACCGTGGTACTCGAGTCTGCAAGAATTCCCGAATTCTAGGTGGACTAAGGGAGGACTTAACTGTTGAGAAGGAACGTGAAGGACCAAAGTTAAAGAGGTGGCTTGTTCAGTGGTTGGTCCGCGTTCGGTCTGGTGTGTCTAGAGCGAAGAGTGATCGCACAGCTTATTTGTTTTTAAAGTAATTTTAGGAAATGGTTTTTAAAAAGTAAAAAGAGGGAACCAGCAGTTAGCATAATGGCTATGTCGCTGGACTCCTACATAGTCCCACGGTTTGCGTCCTGGACCCGGTGGCTTAAAACTCACGCCGGGCACGTGTGCGTGCGTGCCCAAGATCCCGAGAGGAGAATGGAGGAGAAGGGATTGCGGCGTGACCATCCCCCCTGGGGGGGGTGATTTCTCGCTTTCTGTCTCTATGTCTCTCTGTCTGTCTGGCAAGCGCACACGCCCCATAGCGATAAAAACCTCTCCAAAAAACAAGTAAAAAGAATGTAGCTAGGGAACTCACAGGAAATAGATGGCTCAATCAGAAGGGGTAAGGAGGTGGGTGGCGTGGTGGTTAGGGGTGCTGGACTCCCACACGGACTACTGCATTTCGGGTCCTGGACCTGGCAGCCTGCTTTCTCACTTTCTCTCTCTCTCTCTCTCTGCTCCTCTCTAGTCAAATTAAAATAAACAGATTAATTTAAAAAAAATATTAAATAAAATAATTCTTTAAAAATGGGGGGAGCAGGGACCAGCATTAGTCGACCGCAGTTCCTGTCCTGGACCCGGTGGCTTAAACTCACGCCAGGCGTGTGTGTGTGCTTGCCCAAGATCCCAAGAGGAGGAAGGAGGAGAAGCGATTGTGGCATGGCCATCCCCCCTGGGGGGTGATTTCTCGCTTTCTGTCTCTCTGTCTCTCTGTCTGTCTGGTGAGTGCACACGCCCTATAGCAAAAACCTCTCCAAAAAAAAAAAAAATGGGGGCATAAGGAAGAGAGTTCAGAGGCACTGTGGGAAGTTTAAGGGATCGAAGGGATAACAAGGCTCCCCACTTGCTTCTCCCCAGAGCAAGCATCCCCCATGGCCTGCAGGAGTCCATAGTTGTAGTTGCCCCACAGCACCGAGAGAGACCCAGGTAAAGATGCAGCCAGCAGTCTGGCACTGAGAGAGCCAGAGACAAAGGCCCCCAGTTCTCTCCCCTGCCCGTGCTTCCCACTGGTCAAACCGAGAGGGCTAGGGAGCCCAGCCGATGCAGCCCCTGGAGATCAGGGCCGAGAACAGTGGAGAGCGCCGAAGACCGTGTGCGTCATACTTCAGGCCTGTGGGTAGGGGAGAGCCACGAGCTAACTTCCTGATAGTCAGTCTGGGTGATGCTGAAACAGTGGGGAGACTTACAGTAATGGGCCACACGGGAAAGGTTTAGGCTATTAATTTAGGCATTTGTCATGGTGACAGAGAATAGGGAATAAGTAAAGACAATGAGCATGAATCAATAAGCCATATCAGAAGGGGGAAGCACGGACTAGAAGGTAATCCCAAGTTTCCCTAGGTGGGTGCTGTAGCTGTCTCAGATGAGTATTACTGGGGCCAGGACTGGCAGGTGGTATGGTGGTTTAAGTGCTGGACTCCCACATGGCCAAATGTGGTTCAATTCCTGGACCTGGCAGCTTGCTTTCTCTCCTCTCTCTCTCCTGGTCAAGTTGAAGAACAATGATAAATAAATGAGGTTAAATAAATAATTCTTTAAAAAAGAATTACCGAAGCTCTTTTTAGTGAAGGGGAGGTGAGTTCTGGAATTGAATCAGACTCAGCACTTAAATGCACATGCACACTCTTCAGTATAAGTAAGTACACACCTGTAGGACACTCCTCCAGCATTAGTCTTTATCATGATTGGTCTTCATTAGAAAAATAAAAGTACAGGGGCCGGCAGGTGGTGTGGTGGTTCAGGACACTGGACTCTCACATGGCCGACCACAGTTCAAGTCCCAGACCTGGCCACTTGCTTTTTCACTTTCCTTCTCTCTCTCTCTCCCTCTCTTTCTCTCTCTCTTGCACTCTGTCTCTCTCTGGTCAAATTAAAATAAATAAATAAAGTTAAATTAAAAAGTAATCCTTTAAAAAAATAAAGAAGAAGACTAAAAGTATACGTAGAAATGAGAAAAGGAAGAAAACATGGCTCAGTAAATGCCAAATTCAAGATCCTGGTTACCAATGAGGGGGAAGGGGAAGACGGGATTGGGCAGGGATATTTTGTTAGTGTGCTGTAGAGTGTGCACTCACCAGAGAAAGAGAGAGAGGTGGAAAGTGAGAAGTAACCCCCAGGGGGGTGGCCACACCACAATCCCTTCTCCTCATTCTTCTCTCGGGATTTCGGGTACGCACATACATGCACTTGGCATGTTTTCTCAGCTGTCAGGTCCGGGATTTGAACCATGTAGTTATCCATGTGAAATCCAGCCCCCCTAACCTCCACACAACCTCCTGGCTCCCATAAGCTGATTTTCATAAAATAAGTCTCTTCAGAGCCACCAGTGAAATAGAAACGTAGGTATCAGTCTTGCGGGGCGTCTGGCTCTTTCTCCCCTCCCCTCGCCTTGCTCACCTGTGGGCTTTCCCATGACAGAGCTCTCTGAACGAGAAGAGGAAGGTCCTGGCTGGGCAGCACGAGGACGCCCGGGAGCTCAAGGAGAACCTGGACCGGAGGGAGCGGGTGGTGCTGGACATCCTGGCCAATTACCTCTCGGACGAGCAGCTCCAGGATTACCAGCATTTCGTGAAAATGAAGTCGACGCTCCTCATCGAGCAGCGGAAGCTGGACGACAAGATCAAACTGGGCCAGGAGCAGGTCAAGTGTCTGCTGGAGAGTCTTCCTTCGGATTTCGTCCCGAAGGCCGGGGCGCTGGCTTTGCCCCCAGACCTCACGAGCGACACGGCGGCTCCCGCTGGGGGCTGTGCTCTGAGTAGCACCTTTCCGACGTTAACCTCTCCACTTTAGCTTCCTCTAAAACACCCTACCTAAAGATCCCCATTTCTCTCAACACTATTTAATCTGAAAAACGTGTCGGTGCAAACCACCGCTTACACTCTGGGTGACTGGGGTTTTCCTGGATAAAAAGAATCCCGTCCAGGAAGGAGCCTGTGCTTTCCTTCTTGCCGTTCACGATTGATCCTCTGAGAGTCTGAGCACTGCTAGACACGTACCCCGTCCTGTCATTCGCAGTAGGGACACCAGGAAGACTGATCAGAGGGTGCGCGATTGATCATTTAGTCTTTGCCGGGCCGAGGCCATGTAGAAGAGTGTGTGTCACCCTCAGGAATGTCTCCACAGCGGCCTTCCCTGCTGGAGGGCCACGTGTCCCGCTGCGGGTTACAGGCCACGGGTTACAGGTTCCGTTGACGAAGGATCTGCAACACAAAGCCTTAAAGAGACACACACCGAAAACTGTAAAATCTTGAACATTATTATTTATATTTTTAAAAATGGAAAAGATTGTTCTGTTTGTGTGCTAACCACTCATTTGATTCTATTTTGTGGTGGACGTAGACAATTACGTTTGAGCTTTGTATTTTGTGAACACCGTAATGAAGAATTCCAAAGATAGTCACCCCGAGTGTGGAAGCTTTTTTTTTCCTCCCCATTCTTGTCTAGTTTTACAAATACGACATCCTATGTGTGTGTTGCCCTGCGTGCGGGAGGTCCTGGTTTCCACTGCTGCCAGGCCTCACCGTTCTCCTGTGTCAAAGCCAGGAGGAAGGCTTCATGCAGCAGTTCCTGTATCGTTTGCTAGTGTGTTGCGTCATTTTCACTGCTGGGAGGATAAAGCTACTTTTCATTGTTATCCATGAAAAAAGCACACGAGAGAGAAATGAGCACCCTCCAGAGGGTTTGTTCATGCCACAGCCCAGCCATAGCAGCCAATCAAGAGCTCACACACAAGCCTGATGTGTCTCAGGCTGACTGGGCTGGGGATTCAAGCCATGGTCATCCTGTGAGATCCGGGTTGTGTTGAGCAGAGCATAACCACGGTGCTGCGGCTGGCCCTCGAGGTAATTTTCCTAACAAGGGCGACAACTCTCAAAGCCATGTAACAAGAGGAGGATGTTCAGACTCTAAGCCAGTTCACCACAGAATTCATGTCCTCCATGTGGGATATGGGCTAAGTACAGCTTACTTAGAGAGATACGTAGTAGGGCTTTTTTTTTTCTTATTTATGACAGCACATGTACACACCTGTGAGAGAGAGAAAGAGGCGAGCCCCTTCCACAGGGTCTGGTCACACCATATGCCTTTCCTCCAGTCCATTGGGCCCTGGGCTATGCTTATGTACTTGGCATATTCAGGCTGACCAGCCAGGGATTTGAACCACAGTTACCATGTGGGATCCAACTTCTCTTGAGTAGCACATCACTGCTGGGCCATGGAGCCATTCCCTACTTGAGCTGTTTTATTGATGCTTTTTTTAAAAAGTTGTATCTTTTAAAATGTCAAACCTATCAACTACAATTTATTTATAAACTCCTTAGGACCAGCAGATGGCATACCAGTTGTGTTGCTGGACTCCCACATGGCTAAACACAGTTCAAGCCCTGGACCCAGTGACTTCAAACTCATGCCAGATGTATGTGCGTACGTGGCCAAGATCTCAGGAGGAGAACGGAGGAGTAGGGATTGCGGCGTGGCCATCCCCCCCTGGGGCATGATTTCTCACGCTCTCTGCCTCTCTTTCTCTCTCTGTCTTTCTGGCAAGCACACACACCCTATAGCAAAACCCTCTCCCCAAACAAACCACAAATGTCTTTTAATTAACTTAAAACCATTAGGCCACTCAGAAGTGTGTTGTGAGCAATCAACCAAAGCTGTTGCCATGTTCTTATATACTGTGTGGTTGTGTTGATACCAACAAGACAGCACTTAAGTTTCCCAGGAATGTGTTCAAAAGCTCCTCACTTACGTTCAGAGGCCTCATCTCCCAAGGAATCAGGTGCAACCAGTGACAGCCTCCAACACCCTCACTCCATGGTCATTAAAGAAAAACAAGGCTTGGGAACCAGCAGTTAGTATAATGGCTATGTCGCTGGACTCCCACATGGTTGACCGCGGTTCGTGTCCCGGACCCAGTGGCTTAGAACTCACGCCAGGTGCGTGTGCGTGCGTGCCCAAGGTCCCGAGAGGAGAATGGAGGAGAAGGGATTGCGGCGTGGCCATCCCCCCTGGGGGGTGATTTCTCGCTTTCTGTCTCTATGTCTCTCTCTTTCTCTGTGTCTGGCAAGCGCATGCGCCCTATATCAAAAACCTCTCCAAAAAAAAAGAAAGAAAAACAGCCTCCACTGACGTTTCGTCAGCCAGCCCCCAGGCCAGAGGAAGCCCCCAGCCGCTAGTGGCTGTGTGTCTTGCCGACATTGGGGGTGTCCTGGTAGTCAGACCAGGTTGCAGCCTGCCAGCAAATGTCTGCTATCTGTTCTTAGCGAAACCCCTCAGAGGCGTGTGCAGATCCCCGGTTCCCAACACTCCAGAGTTCTTCAGGATCTGACTGGGGAACGTTTCGCATGTTCAGTCTTTCTCAGTGACTTCTCTGGTTTATCTGTGTAAAAGTCAGTGACGCCCACAGGAGAGTGACAGACGCTGCTGCTTGGTGTGCCACAGGCTGTGACCCCCCTGGGATTGTTAACCCTGGAATGCTCTGTTATGTGAAAATGAGAAGGTGCCAACTGGAATGTTGAAGTCTAGTTCTCTGGTCGATGCAGTGTTTATTACAACAGGACTTTACCTCTGCACTGAAGAGATCAGTAACTCAACTTTCTTTCTCTATTTTTTTTTTTGAGGTGTTTGCCTTAGGGCGAGTGTACTCACTGGCATGTGTATGTGTGCACGCACGAGAGAGAGAGAGAGAGAAAGACAAAGGTGAGAAGGAACATGAGAACACCCCCACCACCACCAATGGGAGATAGCCACTCTGCAATCCCTTCTCCTCCATTCTCTTCCTGGGATCTTGGGCACATGTGCACACACGCCTGGAGTGAGTTTCAAGCCACTAAGTCTGGGACTCAAACCACAGTCGGCCATGTGGGATTCCAGTGACGGAACCACTAGGTCATCTGCTGGCCCACGAAATTTTCAAAGTTTAGTTTTAAATGCCTTCAGCTATTGGGTTGTTGGGAAAGTCACGATGTAGTTTTCTATGGTTTTCTATGCAAAAATGTGTCATGACTCTTCCGACCCAATAGAAAAGAAGCCTGTGTGTTCATTCCTTTCCCATTCTGCATTCTTCCCCACTATTTAAAAAAAAAAAAAAAGATCAATTAACCAAAGTAACCACCCTTCTTCCTCCTTCGAATATTCTCCACCAGGACCAGCAGATGGCATAATGTTTACATCTCTGGACTCCCATGTAGTCGACCACGACTCGAGTCCCAGATCCAGTGGCTTAAAACCCATGCCAGGCACGTGTGCATGCTTGCCCAAAATCATGAGAGGAGAATGGAGGAAAAGGGCTTGTAGTATGTCCATCCCCCCGGGGGTGATTTCTCGCTTTCTCTCTCTCTGTCTCTGTCCCTTTGGTGAGTGCACATAACCTATCTCTAAAAAAAAAAAAAGTGTTCTTCACCAAGATCATGAGAACAGCAACCATGAACATGTTGGTCAGGATTTCAGGACACACATGACTGCACTGAGAATGTTTGTACATAGTCACTGTCAGGGCCAGGCAGTGGAACAGCTAGCAGTAACACGAGTGGGCCCACATGGGAAAGCTCCTAGGTTCAAGTCCTGTGACCTCCTTGAGCATATTGGTTGTGTGTTCACATACCCACGATCCCGGCCAGTTGCGATACGGGGTGGGTTCTGGTATGAACACAGTTGGGGGACCTCCCTCTCATTCTGTCTCATGAAAGAAACAAACTTAGAAAACCAAACAGAAAACCTCAAAGCCCAGAGACCTCTCTGGAAGATCATTTTGTGATCCTTTTGGAGATAACGCACCGGAAATCAGGAGAGATGGTCTTGAAGTTCTCCAGATGTGGACACTCCAAAAACCCGTGAGGCTCCAGAAAAGGACAGTGCCCTGTGACAAAATTGGGAGCCCTCCCCTTCCTGGGCGTGTTGCTGCGTGTTGGCTGACTCAGCCTTTGTTTCTCATGGTGACTGCATAACCCCAAAGAATGCAGGGAGGGTCCAGGGCTAGGGTGTCAGCTTCTCTAAGAGACTCCTTCGAAACCAAGCATATTTTTCTCCTTTGCTCCAAGGGAAGTGTTTAGGTTTGTTTTGCACAGCTGGTTTCCAAATGTGAAGATGAGCAAGTCTGAACCCTTAAGGACCTTGAGGTGAGGCGTGAAGGCTTCGCTGTGAGATCCTTTGAGGGAGTGAAGGGGCGCAACAGCCCGGGACAGCTCAGTTTTCCCGTTACTCCACCTGTGGTAATACGTGATCTAAACTCAACGGAGGAGTTCTCAAGGGAATGACATGCTCTTTTTTAAAGAATTGTTTAATTTTATTTATTCTTACTATGTTTTTTCATTTCCCATAGGGCATGTGTGCTCACTGGAGAGAAACAGAGAGAGCGAGAAAGCAAGCTGCCAGGTTCGGGACTCAAACCACAGTTGGCCATTTGGGAGTCTAGCTCCCTCACTACCATGTCACCTGCTGGCCCCAAGGAATTAATATATTTGAGATCCACTTTTTATTTTTTTGAGAGATTTTTGCTATAGGGCACATGCCCTCACCAGAGACAGAGAGCGAGAAATCCACCCTCCCCACACACACACACACACAGGGAATGGCCGCAATCCCTTCTCTCGGGATTTTAGGGAAACACACACACACAACCTGGCGTGAGTTTCAAGCCTCCAGGTCCAGAACTTTATCTGCAGTGGCCACATGGGAGTTCAGTGACATAACCATTACACCATCCGCTGGTCCTGAGATCTACGTTTTTGTTTTCTGTGTTTTGTTTTGTTTTGTTTTGTTTTTTGAGAGGTTTTTGCTATAGACGCGTGGGCTTTCCAAAAAGACAGAGAGAGACAGAGACAGAGAGAAATCACACCCCGGGGGGATAGCCATGCTGCAATCTCTTCTCCTCCATTCTCCTCTCGGGATCTTGGGCACGCACGCATACGCACCTGGTGTGAGTTTAAGCCACTGAGTGAGTCCAGGACTTGAACTGTGGTCGACTACGTGGGAGTCCAGCAACATAGCCATTACACCATCTGCTGGTCCCGCCGAGATGCACTTTTAAACCTACATTTTATTGAAACACTTTATTAAGATACTGATTTTTTTTCTGGATACCTAGGAAAATGTTAGTTTGTATTGTTTTTTAAGAATTATTTTTATTTAATGTTATTTATCATTATCATTATTGTTTTCCAGTTTGATCAGAGAGACGGCAATGGGGATAGTTAGAAAGCCACCAGGTCCTGGACACAAACCTTAGTCACCCATGGGGGGGGGGGTCCAGTGCCTTAACCAGCACTCCATTCGCCGGTCCCAGGCTCGATTTTTCTTTTAGATGATTGGTTAGTTAAGTTCTTGGCAAAAAAAAATGAGAACCCCAATTTGTGAGGATAAACTCCATTTGTAAGGGCAAACACAGATCGCAGGTAGCCCTGG